GGGTTTCGGAACTCATCCCCCATCCAGAGGCCGGGGGGAGCACCTCCTTTCCCCCGGCAAGAGAGGGCCAAGTTTCCGGGGTCAAGGGCCTAACAGGGTTTCGGGGCCCAGGGGGGGCCAAAAGGGCGGGAAAAAGCCCTGCGGGGCCGAAGCCCCGCGGCGGCCTTGCGGCGGCCGCAAACCCAGGGCGGCCACCCCGAAGCCCCCCCGCTGCTGCCCACTCACCGGCGGTCGGGGGGGGCAGCCAAGCATTCATCACCCGCCCTACCACCAGCAGCACCACCAGGGGCCCCCGCCCGGGGGCCCCGGCGGCCGCAGCGAGGAGAAGATCTCGGACTCGGAGGTGAGTGTCCCCTAAGATGGCGGCGGCCCCCACCTCCCCTCCGCCCCGCGCGCGGCCTCCATTTTGTCGGCGGCCGGAAGGGGCGCGTGCGCGCGGCTGTGGGGCGGGGCCGCCGGGCCCGGGGCTGGCAGCCCGCCTTGCTGCGAAGACGGCGAGCGGAGCGGCCTTGGCGGGGACGCGCGCAGCCGCGGGGAAGACCCGGAGGGGAGGCGTGGGGCTGGGGAGGGCCGCGCCGTGCAGATCTCGCCAGCCGGGTGGGCGGGGACGAGATTGGGCGGTTGTGAGCTTTTTTTGCTATTTAGTAGTTGATTCCCAGTTCTTGCCTGTTAGGAACTCGATAGGAGGGGCCGAGAGTCCATTCGGGTGGGTGTGTGCGTTTTCAGGAGTGGCAGATCGCGACTTTCGTAGGCTATGATTACGTTGGAAATTTGCCAAATGTAGGAGAGCCTCATTTTTGACCTTAAACCTCATCTTGATGTATTTTGGGATAATTAAAATGTCCAGTGTTGGGGAAATAGGCATTCGTTTCTGATTTTCCGACGTGGTGTCTGAGAATTTCCTCCCTGTTTTATTAGGGGTTTAAAGCCAACTTGTCTCTGTTGAGGAGACCTGGAGAGAAAACTTACACACAGCGCTGTCGGTTGTTTGTGGGAAATCTACCTGCTGATATCACAGAGGATGAATTCAAAAGGTTATTTGCTAAATACGGAGAACCAGGAGAAGTTTTTATCAACAAAGGCAAAGGATTCGGATTTATTAAACTTGTGAGTGTTTTGGTCAGCGTTAACAAGTGGTAGGGGTGTGGTTTTCTGCGGTGGCTAATGCTGATGGTTTGGTTTTTTAACCGGGAAAGATAAAGCTGGTCTTTTCCTCTCACCTGCCACAGGTGTAATTGTTGCTGCCTAAGAAAAAGGGGGTGGGGTTGTGTCGGGAGGGCTCCCTAAAGATAATGGTAGATGGGAGTGGAAATTGGGCCTGTGACAGTTTGAGACTGGCCACCAGCTGGTTTTGGCAGTCATTAACATGAGTGTCTAATATTTACAGGAATCTAGAGCTTTGGCTGAAATCGCCAAAGCCGAACTTGATGATACGCCCATGAGGGGTAGACAGCTTCGAGTTCGCTTTGCCACCCACGCTGCCGCCCTGTCTGTTCGTAATCTTTCACCATATGTTTCCAATGAACTGTTGGAAGAAGCCTTTAGCCAGTTTGGCCCTATTGAAAGGGCTGTTGTAATTGTGGATGATAGAGGAAGATCTACAGGGAAAGGCATTGTTGAATTTGCTTCGAAACCAGCAGCAAGAAAAGCATTTGAACGATGTAGTGAAGGTGTTTTCTTACTGACAACGTAAGTTGTCTTGTGCTTATTCATGTTTTAAGTTCTGTTAACTCGCTTGAGGTGGTTGCAGTGCAGTAAGATGGGATTGTTTTGTTACTAGAACTCCTCGTCCAGTCATTGTGGAACCACTCGAACAGTTAGATGATGAAGATGGTCTTCCTGAGAAGCTTGCACAGAAGAATCCGATGTATCAAAAGTAAGCTTGAGTAAACTTTTAAGTGTAAAAAATTTGCTGTAATTTTCCAATCTTGCTTAAAAGCTATAGGATTATTTGATAATGGATTATCCTTTGATGTGGTTCAGAAAGTCAGATTTTGAAGCTGCCATTCAAATACTTTAAGAGGTGGTTATATTAACATGGAATCCTGGTTCTCATGTAATTTGGGGGTACAACAACATTTCAGTAAATGTGAGAAGTCTGCTAATCAGATCAGTAATTGTTTGATTTGTCATTACTTCGGAGCCTTGTGCTTTTTTTTCTAACGATGTTGATTTTACATCCTGATTGTCTCCTTAATAATTGGTACAACTTGGGGAAATCGGAGTTGAGTGTTAATACCTAAATAAGCCCTTTTCTAAATGAGCGGTATCAATCAAGAGGCAATTGACAACAGGGAATGAAGTATGGATTTCAGCTTACTACATTTCCATGAGCTTTTTTCAGTACCCCTGTACAGTGAAATAGAATCTGAGATCCCATGTGAGATACATTGATTCGTCTCATTCTGTGTTCTATGTACAGTGGTGATTCTTGGTGGTTTATACTCCTTATGAATGTTAGTCCATGAAGAACATTGTTTTTAGAGAAATTTAGTGTTCCTGGTGTGCATCCACAAATTGGTTCATGTTTAAAACTTCATCTATTTTCAGGGAGAGAGAAACTCCTCCACGCTTTGCTCAGCATGGCACGTTTGAATATGAATACTCTCAGCGATGGAAGTCTTTGGATGAAATGGAGAAACAGCAGAGGGAACAAGTTGAAAAAAATATGAAGGATGCAAAAGATAAATTGGAAAGTGAAATGGAAGATGCCTATCATGAACATCAGGCAAATCTTTTGCGCCAAGGTAAAAATCCTCTGTGAATTTGGTTTTTGAACTTATGAGAGTCTTATTTATGTGGAGCCAAAATAATATTTTTTGATGTTTAGATCTAATGAGACGTCAGGAAGAATTAAGACGTATGGAAGAACTTCACAATCAAGAAATGCAGAAACGTAAAGAAATGCAGTTGAGGTAAAGTTTTGTTAATCTGAGCCTTCACTCTTCTGACATACTCCAACATTTAGAAAAAATGTTTTCAGTTCTTGGAGGTGAGTCAGATGAAGTACACAGGTTAGATACTTGTTGGTTTAACATTTACGAAGGTACTTTAAAAGTTCACCGAGGGATAGATGTTTGACCTAGCAGTTAAGATGCCTACATCCTTTGTGTTGGTACTTGAGCTCAGGGTCAATACCTGGCTTTGGCTCCCATCTCCAGCTTCCTGCCAGTGCCTTCCATTGCACGACATGGGAGGCAGTAGTGATGGCACGATTAATTGGGTTTCTATCATCCATGTGGGAGCTTGTGTTCCCAGTTCCCAGCTTCTGCCTAGGAATTTAGGCATCTTTTAGGCCCATTCCTGGTTTAAATTCGTGGGAAATGGAATAAATGGATTAAAGTCCTGGGGCTGGTGTTGTGGCACAGCTGGTTAAACCACTGACTGATGCTGCATCCCACGTAAGCACTGGTTGAAGTCCCTGGCTGCTCCACTTCTGATCCAGCTCTCTGCTAATGGGCTGAGTAGGAAAGCAGTAGAAGATGGCCCAAGTGCTTGAGTCCCTGCCACCCATGTGGTAGACCCAGATGGAGTTTGGCTGGCCCAGTCCCAGCTGGTATGTCCATTTTGGGAGTAAAAGATTAGTACAAAACATTTTTCAAATCCATGTGAGGATTATTCAGAAAGGCTTATGAAAGTGTGCATCATGAAAAAAATGAAGTATGGATTTCAGCTTACTACATTTCCATGAGCTTTTTTCAGTACCCCTGAACAGCGAAATAGAGGGAAGATTTTCATTAATAAAGCCTATTTTCTTGCCAGAGAATGTGTCTTACGCTCCTAGATTATAGGCTTCTGTTTTCTGTTTTCTTTGTTGTCCTAACTTATTAGACTTTTTAAGGTTCCTAGGCAAACTGTTAGCTTTCTTTAAATTGAATATTGAAAGATGTGGAGGATACATTGGTTTATAAACCTCATGAACATTTCTAGGCAAGAGGAAGAACGACGTAGAAGGGAGGAAGAGATGATGATTCGTCAACGTGAGATGGAAGAACAAATGAGACGCCAAAGGGAGGAAAGTTACAGTCGTATGGGCTACATGGATCCAGTAAGTCAATTATTGCTATTTAATTGGAGTTGCTACAGGACTTGTAGGTACCTGGAAGGAAGTTTTTGTACAATTAAATACAAAAGTACTCCAAAAAGTTTTCGGTAAATGAGCATTATGCAAAAACTATACATGTATTTCAAAAAATTTTTCTACCAAGATGAACTTATCTTTTTAAACTTTTATTTTTTGAGAGACAGATCCCATCAACTGGTTTACTCCCCAAATGCCTGCATCGACCTGGGTTGGGCCAGGCTGCACATTAGCAGGAAGCTGGATCTCACCCAGGCACTCCCGTCTGGAATGCAGATGTCCCAGCCAGTGGCTTAAAGGCCAGACCAAATTCCCATCTGCTGTTCATTTTTTTTAAAGATGTGTTTGTGACTGCCATGATTTTTATTTGTATGCATCACAAGATTTCATGGATAGGGAAAAGTTTTATAGGTGTTTTTGATATTTGAGTTTATAATGCTAGTTTTAAAGATACCCTGGATGATGGAAAAAATGTCTTTTGGAGCTAACTAAGTATAGATGTATGAAAGGACTTTTTTGTTTGTTTTAGAGAGAAAGAGACATGAGAATGGGAGGTGGAGGAGCAATGAACATGGGAGGTAAGCGTGGAAATTCAATTAACAGTAGCTGTTGAAAGATGTATTCTGGTGGAGATGTAACCACCATTTTTGTTTCCCAGATCCCTATGGTTCAGGAGGCCAGAAATTTCCACCTCTAGGTGGTGGTGGTGGCATAGGTTATGAAGCTAACCCTGGAGTTCCACCAGCAACCATGAGTGGTTCCATGATGGGAAGTGACATGGTAATGTATCCTGTTGGACGTAGTACAAAGGAAATTCTTCTTTTCACAACTTATGTGTGTTTGTTTGTTTTTTTTTAAAATAGGTTTTGACTGGACCTCTTTTAGTTCCCCCTATCACATGTAAATTTGTAATGCTGAGGAATACTTTGGCAACATAGGAGAACTCAATGTGTGGTGACCTAAAAGATAATGGTGACCACAGAGGAGTCGATGCTGTTAGTGTGTGGAGTTATCGTTGGCAATAAGTAGATTGAGGTGCTTTCCACTATATTGCTTGTGCACTCTTGAACTTCAGTGCATGGCAAACCTAAATCTAGATGTTAGATAATGTATCTGATTATTCTACACCCAAGTGAGAGTAATCAAGTGGCAAACTCATTCTTTTAAGTTGGTATTTGCCATAGGTAGGAATCAGACTTGCAGCTTGTAGGTTTAGACATGTTGCAGTGACATATGTAGGACTCTGACCTCTATTTGGTGTGGCTTCTATCCCGTTAGGGAATTGTGTAGTGTTTTGACTCGTCGTTTTCTGCCTGTTGGGCCTGTCCGTAGATAACATCTTCTAAAAAAACCTGACATCTCTATTTTGCTACAAGATAGCAAAAGTGAATGATTTCAAGCATACTAATTGTGTGCATTTGATCTGAACCTTCTTGATGCTATCATGTTTTAGCTGTACAGATAGCCTGGTAGATGCTGTAGGACAATAAAGTGAATTGGTGTGAGTGGCTGCATTAAGGCTTTACAAATCTTCAGTACTGAATTTTGGTGGGTTTTGAGTGCATTTTTAAAGCTGCCTTGAATTTGATTAGTTCACCTACAGGCTTTTGGCAAAAAGTGGAGCTGCAGTGTGTAGCTCGTAAGATTTTATAAATAGAAATGTAAGGAGATAGTATGGGGCCTCACCTATTTAAAATCCACCTATGGCTTCTTGAATTTAAGCTAGAATTTTAAAATGGCTGGGTTAAATGTAGTGCTATTAGCTTTCTTCAAATTGAATTTTTAAAATATGTGGCTAAAAATTGAGTTTATATCTTTCCTAAAGACAGATTGTTCTTTATCAAATTTGTAAAATCTGATTTGACGTCATGTTCCTACAGTTAAAGTTCTTTATTCTAGGTAGCTAGCACCTGGGTTCTCAGCTATTATAACACATAATCATGAAACCTCCAAAATAACCTTTTTACATAAAATACACTGTACAAACCCTAGAGGTTTTAAGTTTTAAAAATAAAGGATTGAGGTTTAGCCTGTCCAGTAATTAATAGTATTTTCTAAAACATGCCAAAATAATATATAGGAATAATTAATCCCTATTGTAGTTTTATAGTTTCTCTTTGGAGAAGTATTCTCAGTAACTAGTCTATTTTAAATGGAATTCAAAAACCAATATAGCCTTCTGGGCTTGTATTCATTCCTATAGGGTTCTGCTGTTTCTGTTTCAAGTCTAAAGGTACCTTTAACTAGATGGAATAATGAAGTCACTGCTTTATTGCAGTCACTTGCGCTTAGTCTTACCACTGTTTGGGAGGCACCCAAAACATGGAATTGTAGCAGTGTCAGTGCACTTTGCAAAGACCCAAGGGAAAATTTGGGTTGCTTTGAAGGTGGGCTGTATGTTCAGTCAGTTTGCAATATCACAGAATAGTTCTGTGAATGTAATTGGCTCTGGTTATTAGTGCTGGCTCTGAAGTGGTATCCCTGTGAGAATATGGCAACACAAGTTTTTTTGATCAAGTTAAACTGTGCCGGTTAAGTGACTAAATCTTTTAGTCTTTATGCTTTTTCTTTTTGTAGTCCGGTAGCATTTTGTTAAAACTTTCAACCTTTTAAGATTTCTGCAACTTAGCAGATGTGTCTTAAGATCTTGAAAAGCACAAGGTTTCTTATGCAGCACATGCCACTAACTGGTGAGTAGGTCTTTGTCACTTCATTGAGTGAATTGGATCTGTCTTACTGGGCTTGTTAGGCTTACTTGGAGATTAATTTTCTGTTCAGACCTTGAAAGTGATTTTTGCAAGCTTCTCAGTGGGTTAATCTGATGTGAAATTTCTTAGAAGTCATTTTGGAATGGATTTTCACATCTGCACTAATTCTTAAATTTTTTAGCACTACAGGGAAGGTGATCTATTCTTTGAAACAGGTGTATGAGAATGGCTCAAGTGGGAACATACCACAAGGCATGTATTATCGTAAACTAATTTTCAAATTACCCTTTTTTCCTTTCTATGTTCCCGGTACCTGTGGATCGACTCATTGGTGATTGTATCGACGAACGTTGACTACGGAACCTTCTAAAATATTTACTTAACACACATGGACATCAACTACATATAATGAACTGTTAATTACTGTTCCAATAGCGTACTGAGCGCTTTGGGCAGGGAGGTGCGGGGCCTGTGGGTGGACAGGGTCCTAGAGGAATGGGGCCTGGAACTCCAGCAGGATATGGTAGAGGGAGAGAAGAGTATGAAGGCCCCAACAAAAAGCCCCGATTTTAGATGTGATATTTAGGCTTTCATTCCATTTGTTTTTGTCTTCTTGTTTAGATACCGATCTTTTAAATTCTTGCATTTTAGTAAGAAAGCTACCTTTTTATGGATGTTAGCAGTTTATTGACCGAATATTTGTAAATGGTCTGTTTGGGCAGGTAAAATTATGTAATGCAGTGTTTGAAACAGGAGAAAAATTTTTTTCCTTTCTATTTCCTTTTTAATGTTTTGTTTTTGGTTTTTTTTTTTTAACTGTATAATGTCCCTCAAGTTACGGCAGTGTACCTGTGCCACTGAATTTCCAAAGTGTACCAATTTTTTTTTTACTGTGCTTCAAATAAATAGAAAAAATAGTTATGATATTGATCTTCAACTTTGCCATTCATGCTTCTATGCACATTAGGCTAAGAAGTTAAGTTCACTTTGAAAGCATGAGAGCGTCTAGACCTTTGAGTGGCTTATGCCATTTCTGGGAAGTGTACCTGGAGGCTAACTACTGCCTTCTACAAATAACTGCCCCCTTGTTTTAAAAAGAAACGAATACTGAAGTAGTTTCATGATTTGTTTGGCATTACAGGAAGCAAGCTTTGGTGCTAAGTATTTTTCAATGGTTATGTAAGCAAAGCTGAACTGTAAATCTTTTCATTCAGGAATATGTAATTAAGATTGTGGAATGGGTTTAAGACTATTGGTAGGGGAGAAACTGGGTTTGGTTAAATGGATCTTTCATGGCCCTATGATCTATCCCTTCCTTGAAAGTTTTTAAAAAGTGGAAAGATCATTTTGTTGCATTTCCCCATTCTTGTTTTTAAAGGAACAACAAATCCCAAGCCCTACAAATGGCTTGTATTGGAAGTTTTACATTTGAATTAAAGATTGTTAAACATGAAGCCTTTTCATGTATTACTTCAAGTGATTTATAAAGATGGGATATAGTCTGAAAAACAACTTGAAAGCAAGAAAGTTTAGTTACCCTAGAGTTAGCTATTTACACATTTATTTATACTCTAACTTTTACACCTCCTTGTGCTACTTCTGTTGGGCAAAATCTGTAGGACTATAAAAATCTATTGGTTCTCTTTTCTGAGAGCTAGTGGTGATGTTAATAATGAATAGGGCTGCAGATAACCATTCTTATTATAAATTTGTTAATCTGTTTTTACATAGTTTGCTTTTAATGTAGCAAGAATTGTTCATGCTACACAGTACAGATACAGTACAGATATTCCTTTCTCCCACCATAAAGTTATGGAATGTTTCGATGGTGTTGTCAGTTAATTGTCAACTTCATTGAATCTCCTTTCATTAGAACAAGAGACTTTGACTCAATATTATAGATGGTTTACTGTTTATTAGTACAATGGGAGCTGATTTCCCAGTGTAAATATGTTAGAGAAACAACTTTCTAACAGTAGGTAAAGAAATTGAATGGTTGGCTTTGTTCTTAGTTATTATTCCATTCAAATCTGTACATTATGGTACATTATGGTATGGAATGTGTCTTCCTTTTTACCTCTATTCTTGGGTGCTAATTGGCAAAAGAAAAATTCTAAATCAAACTTTTAAACATGCTGAAGTTTAGTATCGTGCCTCAGTACATAAGGAGACCTATTGTTGGAAAACTGAACCCTTTCCACATTGGAAATGGGATAGTACAAGTTAAAACACCAGTGGAGCATGAAAGCATGTCACCAAATTCTGTTGTATAATTGACAGGTACACGGTGTGCTGATTAAGGGAGGGAATCTATTCACTAGCACACTGGAAGTGGGTAGGGGTAGTTCTACCATAATTGAGTTAATGAGGAAGTTTTACCCTGAATCAAAGTTGTTAATTGGTGATAAATATAAGATTTCTCTGTACGGAAAGAAGGGACTTGATTTAAAAGGAGTCCGTTACAATTTGGTTGAATTGTACAGCAGGGACTCTACTGATGCCAAGAAAATAAGGGGTGTTCATGGGACACCCACAAAGGGTAAACGTGAATGTGTGTGGGCGGGGGCTGGTGGGAAAGTGGGAAAATCTGCCTATAAAATTAATGTTTCAGTTTATTTTTCAGATTACATGCCTTTCTTTATAAGGGATGCTGGCACAGACCCCCTAAATTAAGTTTTTGGTAGTACTGTACCTTTGAAGAGTGGTGAAGGATGCTAATGGATTATCTCCTGAAAGTTGTGGCTTTTGATACCCTTGCTGTGGGCTGTAGAATTAATTGCTAAACGTTGTTTAGCAAGTAATGTTGCTTAGTATCAACTGACATTTGACTTTCCATCACTGGAACAGCAGTGTACCAAGGGTTGTAAGTGACTCAGACTTTCAGTAAGTCTTGCAATATATATGCTAGATTTTAGCCTAATGTGAACTTAAGTCATCTTAAAATAAGTAGTTTCCTGAAAGTTGATAATGAAACTTGGGTGGGAGAGGGAAGGTAATGATTTTGAAGTATATTAGCCATTTTTCTCATTTTAAGAAGCTTCCTGCCCCCATTTCCTCTTCTCCTTTTCTCTCATAGTTTTAAGAGGAACATTTGGTTTTTTTTAAAACGTTTCTCCTAATCTATAAACTGCATTCTCTAAAACCCCAGTGTATTCATTTAATAGATAACCTGTAAGCTTAACCCATTGGCTCACATTACTTAGTAAAACCATAATCCTGTCTTCTCGGAACATTATCAGCCTTATGAAGTACTGTAAACCCCACCACTCCTGATAGATGTATTAGATCACTAATACAAACAGATAACAATTTGGGAAACTGTAATGTTACGCCTGTGCAATTTTATAAGTAGCATATTATGGCAGATAAAAATTTAGATACTTGGCTTTTCTTGGGCAAGCCACTAAGTCGTGGTGGAATGTTTTCTGGTGTTCTTGGACTGCAACTATGCACTATTAAAGTAGTGGCCTGCTACATAACTGCATTTAGCCAGCATTTCTGCAGTGCGTAACTGTGAGGAACGTAGTACCGCAAATGGCAATGGACATTAGGACCCGGATGTAGTATTCCTGCTTGCTCCAAGATTCTCATTGCCGACTGCATACAGGTAGGTAACAAGCAATATAATCTAACTTGGTGACTTGCTATGTACTTTTATTCCGTGGGCATTCTGACATCACACTTCTGACAATGAAATTACAGTGCAGCACCTAACACATGTATGGTAAAGTTAGTAGCTTATATCAAAACTGCGTGGGTTTGGGGTTAGAACCGTAATTTGTCAGGCAGAATTCAGTGCTGTTGCAGTTCTCAGATAAAAAGTGCAAACTTGATTCTTTGGTATCTCTGACTCAGTTGTGTGGTTTTCTTTAGTTGCATTGTAACTGACAATAAAATGGAACACATCAGTGGTGCTGGGGGAAAGGGAACCAAATCATACTTGGGAACTGGAGTGCTAAATCTTAGCACCTTGACACGGACTCTATTCAGCACATGTGATGGTTAGTCTCTGTTACAGCAAACTGACCTGCCCATAGGTTGGCAATATCAGTAATTTCAGTATGCAAACTTGGTAATTATTCTGCAAGTGAGTGAATCAAGAGTAAAGGTACAGTCTGTTTTTGCTTTTGTAATGTGATTGAAAGTTTCTTAAAAACATGAACTCCGTGGTAACACCTTCGTTACTAACTTGGGCCTAGATGGGAACCTAATGTGACTAGTTGAAGTTATGTGATTGGTCTCTTCTATACTCTAAACCTGGGGGAAAATGGTGTGGAACAGTGACTTGCCTACAGTTGAACATGTTGGGAATCATTCCCAATCCTAAGACTTCGTCGTATTCTGTAGGATGACTGCATATGTTCAGAGTAGCCTTTTGAATTTGGCTCCCTCAGCTTTAGGGATGTGATGATAGTCCAAAATGTTTCATTACAAGAGAAAAGTCTTCAAAAGCACCTTCTTTGTTGCTTAGGACTTAAGCTTTGCATCAACTATTGTTCCAGACCGCAGTTCAACTTGGAACTTTTGGTCTCTGAACTGGTTTTGAGCTAGCATGCATGAGAAACCGCTTTCATCTACAACGCTCTCTGCTCTGTAACTGGAAAGTTTGGCTTCCTTTGCATAAATGCCGGTGAAACATTCCATACGTGACTATGAGACTCTTTTTTCATTGTATTAAGAAAATTAGCTTGCTCTTTGGCAAGCAGTTCTCAGGGTGGGGGCAGATTTGTAATTATGTGTAGTCCAGTCAAGCAAAAACTGTGACTAGCTCAGCTCCTCCATACAAATAAGAAAATGTAGATCAAACATAATGCTCAGTGTTAGCGATGAATGCATCCCTAAACTGCACAGGACCCCGATGGGTTCCTGTGTCATAATCCTTTAAGTTGGTGGCCAGTGCTTGCTACCAGTTTAGTGATTGGTGTCCAGAAATAAAAGCTCAGGTTTAATTTCTCAGCAGTAACAATTTTCATAGAATGCACTTGAATGACATACGGACTTCAGGAACATCATTGGGATGGGGGTTAATTTTGCTTTAGCTTTTTTCTGCTTCACGATGATTAGACTTTTGCACTTTAGAATGAGAAACCTGTGACTTAAGTCGATTCTTACTAATTTGTATGCAGTTTCAAATTGTGAATTTTAGTGCAGTGGGTTTTTTTTAAGCACTCAGTCAAAAAGCTGGGAATTAAGTGGGTTTCAGTAGTAATGCTATACCGAGGTGCTTGCATTGTATTTCATAATTTTGTTCTTGCAAACCAAACTAAAATTTCATAATGACAACAGTCTGAGATCAGAGGTGTGATGCCAGAATGTATTTTCGTACTGTTAGGCCCTTGGAACAGATACCGGTGCTTTCTGAAAGATGAAAGAAATGCAATGGGTACTCTTCACAGAAGGCTACAAACCTACAAAGAATGCATAGTTCACTTTTCCCCAATAGAGAGATGCGTGTGACTAGTTTTGGACTTTAAACCTTAATGGGGGTTGCATGTCTCTTATTGTTAATCATTGTCAGCTGCAGTGACATGATCACAGTCCTGCATTTACTGCCTTTCCCTTAATGATTTTGGACAGGTTTTTAGAGAGCCAGGATGCTTGTTCTGGGCCTTTATTGGTTTTGGCTTTAGCTGATAATGTTTCAGTGCTGTCAGCTAGTGCAGTTCTCAAACGGCTGCCTATTAGGGAAAGAATTCAGAGGATTTGACTGCTCCTAATCATCTGTCATTGCTGCTAGATAATGATTGGCAATTTTTAAGACTCAACTGTGGAAATTTCACAGTTGCTGGTAACCATCAACCATAAAAATGTTGCTTTTGAACACCAGTGCTGAAGAGATTTTTTTTTTTTTGAGGGTGAAAGGGGGCTGGTTGTAGAACAGGTTAGGTATAATCTGGAGAATGGGGGAAGAATGCAAAACGATATAGTATCCCTTATGGATGGTACATGTGCAACAGGGAACTATTTGGTGTACCTGTGGCTGTAATGATACAGGAAGGAAGAAAAACCTGAACTTGAATTAAGGTTAATCTGTTTTTGTGCTCTGTGGCCCTGCCAGGCATATAGCGAAGGTGAATGGATGTCTTCTCCCTTGAGTTCCTTGCTGTCCCAGTAAGGCATAGCTTCCCTGCCCTAACTTAAAATTCAGTGAGGACTGAACAAGGCACTTTACAGGATTGCAGGGTAACCACTGCAGTGTTGTGTACTGTGGGAAGGGGTAGGGTGCACTCGAAAGACTCCTGCTAAAGGTGGTCAGCCCACCTGAGAACAGAAGACATACTTGAATGGGGAGCAGGGTATGTGCTTCTGGATGAAAAGAGCTGATAAACTCATTTGGTAAGGTGACCGTTGTCACATACCTTCACATAAGGGATAGTATATTTTGGGTTGCAGTCAAACTTCATTGTGCTCAGACTGGTGAAAAGGAGTTAGGATTTGCATTTTAAAGAAAGTTTTCTTTCTAACTCAAGGTGTCTACTTCCTACTTTATGTAAGAATACTTTTAGATTTTTGTTTTTCCCCATGAAGTTTCTTCCTAATTTTTTTTAAGCTGTAACTTATCCCCAATCTTTGTCTCTGGAATTTTTACTCTTTAAATTTTGAAGTTAACTAGCATTTTCAAGCCTTTATTTCATACCCGTGTCTTCTATATTAACTTTTTCTTATTATTCTTTAGGTGAGAATGATTGATGTTGGCTGATACTGGAGGATCATTCACTTGAAGTAAGTTTCCTTAAAATAAGTCTTAAACCTCTATTGGACTTTGATTTATCTACTGTCTAATAGTAAACCTAATTGGATTTGGCTGCATGAGGTGAAACTTGATTGTTGAGGTTGTTAGCTCTCCTAAGATGGTATCTCATAATTTTTGATTCGAAAATTGGTGTCAATGTGAAAGTAAGTGGGAAATTTATTACAGAAATGTCAGGACTGCTATAAAAGGTACACAGTTTAAAAGGTAAATAGGTACAAGAATGTTTAAAAGGTACTGAAAAGAAAGCTCAAGTTAATGGGAATGACTATTTTTTTCCAGTACTGTAAATTGTATTTTAGACCTAGAAAAAAATCCCCATAAGATTTATTTTTGAAGATTTATTTATTTGAAAGGCAGAAGGATGGGTTAGGAGGGAGAGAAACAGAAAAAGACATGGCTGCAATAGCCAGTGGAGGTCCAGGTGGAAATCAAGAGCTCCATCCAGGTCTCCCATATGGGTTCCAGGGCCCCAAGTATTTGTGCTGTCCATCTTCAGCTGCTTTTGTAAGTGTGTAGGGAAGTAGCTCAGAAGCAGAGCAGCCAGGATTTGAACCTGCGCTCATGCAGATTGCTATATGCCACAATACTGGCCCCAAGGCCGGTGCCACGACTCACTAGGCTAATCCTCTGCCTGCAGCACCGGCACACCAGGTTCTGGTCCCGGTCGCCCCTCTTCCAGGCCAGCTCTCTGTTATGGCCCGGGAGTGCAGTGGAGGATGGCCCGAGTGCTTGGGCCCTGCACCCTCATGGAAGACCAGGAGAAGCACCTGGCTCCTGGCTTCGGATCAGTGCGGTGTGCCGGCTGCAGTGCGTCAGCTGCACCGGCCATTGGAGGGTGAACCAACAGCAAAAGGAAGACCTTTCTCTCTGTCTCTCTCACTATCCACTCTTTTTTTTTTTTTTTTTTTTTCTTTTTTACAAACAAACTGGCCCCAAGATTTTTTAATGCAGTAAACAGTAGAGGAAAATCTAAGAGGAGATAACCTTTTGTGGGCCAGGTTTTTCTAAGCATTATATAGCAAAAAATATAAATGAAGTCACTGATTGGAAGCCATGTCCGAACAAAACGTTGTTAATGTCAGTAGAATGTATATGCTATTTACGTGTAACCTATTTTTAATGAAAATATGTTATAATTACAGGTGGATAAGAAATTTCTCGAACATACAGCAGGAGCCAACTTAAGGAAAGCTACGGATTGTTAGACTGACAAAAGGTCTAAGTAAGTTGAATAATCCTTACTTCAGAGGTGTTCTTGGGTGGTATAAAAGTAACACTACTAGTGTGTGAATCACCATTAATACTATGTCCCCTGATTAATATTCTTTAGTGCCAAGTTCACTTGGTGCTGCTAAGTAATGTTAAATTTGAGAACTTGATAAATCACTGTTTCACATCTTTCGGGGCAGTAATCCTACCATGTTCTTCAGTTGGCAGGATCAGGTGAGCTGTGTCCAGAAAACCAGCGAGGAAGAATGCAAGGAGGAATGAACAACGTCTTGCCATTAATAATAAAGACATTTTAAAATTTGTCTATATTCTTTTATTTTTGTTTTAAAGTAGGACTCTTCTACAATTTTCCATGTGCATTCAACGTATTGGGTGACATAGATATTGTTTTATATAAACTATTCAGTGCTCTCTCTATATACATGTTTATATATATATAAAGGTTATTTATTTGAAAGAGAAGCAGAGAGATAGGGTGGTCCTCCATCTGCTGGCTCATACTCCAAATGGCTGCAACAACTAGAGCTGGGCCAGTCAGGCAGGAGCCTGGAGCTTCTGGGTCTCCCATGTGGGTGCAGAGGCCCAAGGACTTGGGCCATGCTCTGCTGCTTTCCCAGGCACATCAGCAGAGAGCTGGAGTGGAAGTGGAGCAACTAGGACTTGAACTGGTACCCAAATGGGATGCTGGCACTGCAGGTGGCAGCTTTACCTGCTATGCCACATGGCCTGGACCGCAGTGATTTTTATTCTGAAAATCAGCATATGATCTGCATGCCCATCCTTGATTGGTTTTCGGGCATGATAGCATTCTGTACGTCACATGGCCTGGCCCATGGGTATTTTTATTCTGAAAATTAGCCAGAGCTGCACCTATCCGAAGACCTATCTAAAAGGTTAGTGTGTGATGGCTTTAATTTCAGGGCCCCATTAGTAAAACTGCAGTTTCAGAAGCAATTGAATAGATTTTTAGGAAGCTATAATATTCACTCTCAAACCTGTAAGCTTTAGGAGTGTTTTTTTTTTTTTTTTTTTAAGATTTATTCATTTACTGAAAGAATTGGAAATATCTTTACCCTCCAAATGGCTGCAACTGCAGGGGTTGGGCCAGGCCAACGGGAGGAGCTTGGAACTTAACCTGGTTTCTCATGGTGGAGGCCGAGGCTGGATCACTTGGGGCATCTTCCACTGCTTGGCCAGGTGCATTAGAGAGCTAGATCAGTGGAGCACCTAGAACTGGCACCAACGTGGGCTGCTGGTGTTGCCAACCCCTGGAGGTGTGTGTATAGGCTCATGCTGAGCCTCTTGTCCAGTGTCTTGGTTCAATTTATTTTTTTCTGATTTCCAGTTTTCGAAGCCTGGATCTCTCAAGGTAAAAGTGATCTAATGGTTAGAGGCATAATAGAGCGTCAATATAATGTACAGCTGCATTATCTGGCAAGTTCCTTGATCTAGGTTACAGTTTCATAAACAATTTTTATTAAGGCTGTGAGGTAGAAGATGTACGTAAGCAAGTACACAGTATTCTCAAATCATCAGCCATTAACAGGGAACAAAGTGTTTCCTGACCAAGCGGGTGATTGGAAGTATGGTGGTTTTCTAGTTGGTGGTACAGGATTCTGAATTGACCGTTGAGTTCATAGGGGGTAATAAAGATCCTGACTGCTGAAATGAATGGGGAGTTGCAGGAGAGGCATTCCTAAGAAGTTGAAGCAAAAATTGTCCTGTAGGGTTATGCTGAGTTGATAGTAACACTCAGGGATAGCAGGGAACAAGTCTGACAAAGTTAACCTTTCAACAAAATGATGTGTAATGTTTTGCATTTAAAACATTTGTTTCCAGTGTGTAGCACAGAGTAAAAAGCACTTTCAAATAACTAGACGGGTGAGTGTAAAAAAGCTGATTCTAACTCAAAAAAAGCTGAAAAGGAAGAAGATAAAAATGATGGGAGGAAAAAGCCACATCCTTGGGTTGAAAGACTTACTGTATTACTTCCTACTCAGTCCCACTTGATTTGACACTGATAAGCTGATTATAAGATCATTACAAGTGTCCTAAAGTAGCCTCAAACAACCTTTATTTAAAAGAGTTACAGGGCCGGCGCCGTGGCTCACTAGGCTAATCCTCCGCCTAGCGGCGCCGGCACACCGGGTTCTAGTCCCGGTCGGGGCGCCGGATTCTGTCCCGGTTGCCCCTCTTCCAGGCCAGCCCTCTGCTGTGGCCAGGGAGTGCAGTGGAGGATGGCCCAGGTGCTTGGGTCTTGCACCCCATGGGAGACCAGGAAAAGCACCTGGCTCCTGGCTCCTGCCATCGGATCAGCGCGGTGCGCCGGCCGCAGCGCGCCAGCCGCGGCGGCCATTGGAGGGTGAACCAACGGCAAAAGGAAGACCTTTCTCTCTGTCTCTCTCTCTCACTGTCCACTCTGCCTGTCAAAAAAAAAAAAAAAAAAAAAAAGTTACAGAGAGGGAGAGAAAGCTCTTTGATTTGCTGGTTCACTCTCCAGGTAGCAACACTGGACAAGGCCGAAGCCAGGAGCCTGGAACTCAAGTCCGCGTGGATGGCAGGGGCTCAAGTACCCAGGCTATCTGCCGCTGCTTTCCCAGGGGCAATAGGGAACTGGATCGCAAGTGGAGCGGCCATGTGGGATGCTGGAGGGAGTCACAGGTGAAAGCTTACTTGCTGCACCAGAATGCCACCCCCCACCAAAACATTTTTTTAAGGTTTATTTATTGTAAAAGCACAGTCAGATTTTTCATCTGCTGGTTCAGTCCCTAAATCGTTGCAAACAACAGCCAGGTCTGGGCCAAGCTGAAACCAGGAGCCAGGAACTCCATGTAGGCGGCAGGGGCCCAAGCATGTGAGCCGTCTGCACTTTTGCCAGGTGGTGTGCAAAGGGCTGGCTGAAAAGGGGAGCAGCCAGTGCTTGAACTGGTGCCCCTTTGAGTTGTCAGCATTGCAGGCAGTGGCTTAACTTGCTGGTCCTCAAAACCGTCTTTAGAACAGAGTAGCTGGTTTCAACAATACAAAACATCAGTAATCAAGGCTCTGGTACTGGCACAAGGGTAGACATAGATTAATGGCATAGAATTGTGAGTTCAGAAATAAACCCTCACATAAAATCAGCTAATTACGACAGTGCTAAAATCATCCGACAGGAAAAAATTCTTTATAAGTGAACAGGGTATAGCATTGTGCAAGAGAATGAATGGACCCTTAGCTCACACTATTTCAAAAAATCACAAGATGGATCAAAGCCTGAAATATAAGAATAAAAATTATAAAGCTTAGAAGAAAAGGGGAGGGCCTAAATGGATTTGAGCAACAGAAGTAAATAGGGCTTACCAAAATTAAAGACAGGTGCTGCCAAGAGCCCCGTGAAGGAGACCGGGAGCAAGGGCATGGAGAGTCGGTGGTCAAATGGTACAGATCTCAGTTCAAAAGATCCATTCTTGCAAATTGCCAAGAGATTTTAAGTGTTCTTATGACAAGAAGTCTGAGGGAATGCGTATGTAAATTAGCTCATTATAGCCTCTCCACACAGTTCCAAAAATTGAATGGGGGCTGGCGCTGTGTTGTAGCAGGTAAAGCCGTTACCTGTGGTGCTGGCTTCCCATATAGGCACTGGTTGGTGTCCTGGCTGCTCCACTTCTGATCCAGGTGCCTGGTAGTGCACCAGAGAAAGCAGAGGATGGCCCAAGTCCCCTGCGCCCACACGGGAGACCCAGAGGAAGCTACTGGCTTCTGGCTTCTGGCTCCTGGCTTCAGACCAGCCCAGTTCTGGCCATTGTGGCCATCTGGGGAGTGAGCCAGCAGATGGAGGGTCTGTCTTCCTCTCTCTCTAACTCTGCCTCTCAAATAAAACACACACACAGACTGTAAGTCAACCCAAAATTGGGAGAAAATATTTGCATACCATGTATCTGATAAGAGATTTGTACCCAGAATATGTAACAAGTATTTACAACCCAGTAATAAACCAAATAGGCCAATTAAAAATAGGCAGAGGAGTGAAACGTATTTCTCCAAGGAAGGTGTTCAACAAGCTAATAGGCACATGGAAAGATGCTCAACATAATTAGTCATTAGGGAGATGCAAATCAAAAGTAGAACAAAATTCTCCTTCATATCTGCTAGAAAGTCTAGATTCAAAAGTCAGAGTGGGGAGGGGCGATGCTCTGGCACAGTGGGTTAAAGCCCGGGCCTGCAGTGCTGCATCCCATATGGGCACTGGTTCGAGTCCCAGCTGCTCCACTTCCAGTCCAGCTCTCTGCTAATGTACCTGGGAAGGAGTGGAAGATGGTCAAGTCCTTGGGCCCCTGCACCTATGTGGGAGACCCAGAAGAAACTTCTGGCTCCTAACTGGTAGTTGCAGCCATTTGGGGAGTGAACCAGCAGATGGACGACTCTCTCTCCCTGTAACTCTGCCTTTCATATAAATAAAATAAATCTTAAAAAAAAGAAAGCAAATATTGGCAAGGATATGGAGAAACTGGAACTCAGAAACCTTGTGGGCAGGGAGGTGCAATGGGGGCAGCCCACCACCCCGGAGAGGCCTGGCAGCTGTGCAAAGGGGATTCATTATGATAAGCAGACATTTTTTCAATGGAGAATTTTCTTTCTGACATTTTACTATAAGGATTTCAGAGTCCTTGTAACATTTGATAATTTTAAAAAGATTTATTTTATTTATCTGAAAGGCAGAGTTAAGAGAGGAAGACAGTGCTCTTCCATCTGCTGGTTCACTCCCCAAGTGGCTGCAATGGCCAGTGCTGGGCCGGACTGAAGCCAGGAACCAGGAGCCTTTTCTGGGCCTCCCATGCGGGTGCCAGGGGCCCAAGCACTTGGGTCATCTTCTGCCACTTTCCTCAGGCCATTAGAAGGGTGCTGGATCGGAAGTGGAGCAGCCAGGACTTGAACCAGCATCCATATGGGATGCCAGCATGGCAGGCAGTTGCTTTACCTGCTGTATCAGTGTCAGCCCCTGGCTCTCTCTGGCCTTTTCTCTCAGTATTTTAGGGATCGAAACATCTCTTTCCACATGTCTGAGATGCTGCCTTGCTGGGTCTAGTGCCATCTCCCTGGTCAACAAAGAAGCCGTGAATCTGGGAGTAGGGGCCAGTCACACAAAGACTTTTATATGGGGCTGGCGCCCCGACCGGGACTAGAACCCGGTGTGCCGGTGCCACAGGCGGAGGATTAGCCTATTGAGCCGCGGCGCTGGCCATCTCTCTCCTTTTTCTCAGCCAGTTGCCCTATCGATACTGTGGACTGTCTGTTTATCATTACTGTAAGAAAACACCTGAGG